CGTGTACACTGTAACACACCCATAATAGACCCATTTTTGTAATATATCTTTATTATTGCTAATATATATTTTGTAATATACCTATATCATGGCTAAAGCACTTCTGCATGGATGCAAACTGCATTTCATGATATGTGCAATGACAATAAAGTTGAATTCTATTCTTTTCTATTCTAAAAGACAGAAAAGAAGGAAAAGGCAGGGCTGTGTTCAGCGCAGTACAGAAGCAGCTTACCTGAGTACAGTGTGGCACAAAGCCATAAACCAGAGTGTGACAGTCATTGAACAGAGCATGCAGCTGCTTGGGAGCCTGCAGAGGTGGACTTGTTGGGCTGAACTGCTGCCACTTGACAGACACTGAACTGCAGCCAGGAGATGCCATACGCTTCAGCTGACAGGCCACCTGTAAACAAAACAGAGAAAATTTTGGACTTTATTTACGATCTTCTTATAACGAGTCAACAACTGAATAACAACAATTAACAGCTGCTTATGTATGACATGAGCGCTCACCTTCTCTGCCCAGTTGTGTTTGGTTTTTGTGTCGAAGAACTCATAGGCTCCGCCCCCTGCTTGAGCCAGGGCTCTCAGCATGTGTTGGTTGGCCATCGTGCTAAAATCATCAGACACATAGATATACTTTATACATATTTAAAAGATCAAATGGATCAAATCAAGAAGAAGCTCAGTGTGCAGAGCATCACAGAGTCCATTACAATGATCCGTGTCGTTAATGTTGACATTCAGGCCTTGTGCTTTGTAAATTCACGTCTCTTACTGGTGACTGTAGCGTTTAAACAGCAGGACACACTTTAATACGACAGTATACAGCTGTGGGCAAACGTTTACAAACTGTGTACCCACGTCTTGTTTTTTAAGCTCATTAAAGATGTAAACTGTATAATAATCTTGGAAAAAGAGCAGTTCAGAGAACTCATGAAAGCCTACTGTCACCATGACGATCATGTTCATGATAAATAAACTTGTGCCCACAGCTGTAGGACGACACATTTTCCCACTCAGAACCCTTTTCAGACCTGAGGCCACAGGTGAAGAGGCGACTGTGCTGAGCATCGTCTCTGAGCAGCTTCAAGGTGAGCTCGGTGTTCTGGATGTGGCCGTCCGACAGCAGCAGCAGGTTCCTGATGCCGCGCGATGGAGGCAGCAGGCTGAGCGCTCGCAGGGGGCGCCACAGCTCAGTGCCTCCCCCTAATGGGGCGGAGTGCTAATAGGAAAGAGAAGAATCGAGCTTTTTCAAAACTCTCTGTTGAGTTTGGCTTTAAACACAACATTACCAGTGCCATTAACATCAAAATATATTCACTAACACAACACAGTCACATTATAATAGAAGCTATACATAGAAAATCTGTGGAGGGAGCCGAAGGTTTTAGTTCATCAGCCACAAAACATTTCTGACTTGGAGAGGATGTGCAAACATGAGTGGGCCAAACTGAGATGTGTGCAAAACCTGCAACTGCACGACACGCCTGACCTCTGATTACCAGAGCATCAAATACTTTTCCCTTCATGAAAATGAATGTGTAACGTTTTTCAAATGCATTTTTCTCATTGCTCTGTCTTTCACTGTTCACATGAACCCACCATAGAAACTGAACATTTCTTTGTTTGACGTGTTACTGGAGTCTTAAAAGCAAAAACATGTAACAAACTGTAATAACGGCCAATCTCCAACCTTAGTTTCAGAGCTCATCACAGCACAGAAACAGCTTTAGTGGAGGTTACTGTCATGGCCTGGGTCTACGTAAGCTAATGCATTTTTTGTATATGTTTTTTTTTCTGTATGTTGTGTTTTTGGTGGTTTTCTTTCCTTTTGTCCTCCTCCTTCCTGTGTGTGTG